CAATCTTAGTGAGACCTGAGATGGGATAGGTCAAATAGTAAGACGAATAGTCTCAGTACTCTCAACTAGACCGAATTCAAGGTCGCGATCCGACTTATATGCCGACATCTTCTGAGATGGATGCACGCATTAATCAAATATGTTGTATATATTTGATACCTATACCCCCGTTTTAAAATGGACTCGTCTAACGCTCATTGATATCATAGCGCGTGCAGCAACGGCATTGCGTGCATTGCACGTGCACAAACTGAGCGTGACGGTCGCTGTCACATTCATTGGCTCAGTCAACTTTAACCTCATCACCTACCCCGGTGTCTCAATGGGAAAACAGAGGGTTACAATACCAAACATGATATATGTGGCTGCAGGTTCCATTCTCATCATGGATTTTTCTTTGTAAAGAAATCTGGACTCCTTACCAATCAACATTAGATGCGAATTTATTTTAAAGTAAAAATTCAAAGCCGGTCTTACTTATGATTCAAAGTAAAACCTTAGATCTTACTTGACAGAAGTTAAAACTCAAAGCAGGTCTTACTTGAGGGCAGTAAAACCTCAAAGTATGTCTCACTTAAAAGTAAAACATCACTATGTATATTCAAAGTCATTCGCGGCTTTCAACTTGATTAAATCCAAGAACTTGCTGAAAGGAGAAAACATGTATAGAACAATGGAGTGACGTCACCGGATGTCTGGAGCGTATTCTAAGGCTGATGGCATTCTTAGTTATTCTTGTTTTTCTTATCTCAAAGAGTTCCCAAATGGGGTCGGTCGATCGGAAAATAAATAAAAAGGTAAAAAAGGTTCCTTATTTGCAAAGTACCTATTTAAGTTAGTCAAAATTACAATCATGTTTGTTTGTTTGTTTGTTTGTTGTTTAACGTTGCACTCAGCAATATTCCAGCTATATGAAATATAATCGAGTCTGGACCAGACAATCTAGTGATTGACATCATGAGCATTGATCTACGCCATTGGGATACGATGACATGCATCAACCAAGTCAGCGAGGCTGACCACCCGATCCTGTTAGTCGTCTCTTACGAAAAAGTATAGTCGCCTGTTACGGCAAGCAAGGGTTGCTGAAGACCTTTTCTATCCCGGATCTTCACGGGTATACAATCATGTAAAACCAAGGGCTAACGCACCGTATCAAGGCTTTGACGATACCAAATAATCACCAATATTCAAACAATGTCTGGTCGTCCAAGATTATTGCACTTATATGTTTGTGGCTGCTTGTACTAGTCCGGACCGATACCGATTTAAAGTGCTAGTCCACTGAGATACCATGCCGCATTTTAACATGAATACCCCACGAAGAAACAGTACGCAGTATACTGACTCCGAACCGGCCGAGCACCAGGCAGGGGAACAACATGCACCATCTTTTGACGTCTTTTGGTATGAGAGAGGGGGGAGGGGGGGGGGGGGGGGGGGGGGGTGGAGGTGGTTAAGGCGTTCGCTCTTCTCGCCGAAGACCCAGGTTCCGATTGCATTCTATCACTTCATATGCCATTGGAATATTTAGGAAACATTGGCTAATTGGTACATAGAGGAGACTATATATCACCGTCATTTCGTGACATAAGCCAAACTGTAGCAGCATACCACCAAATCCCACAATTTTAAATACTGGTATTATCAAAGTTTTCTGAACATTTTGAGAAAATTATCTTACGCTAGAATATCCTACTTTTATCTCATTTTGTGAGGAATTAAGGATTAGAAATGTCAATTTAATTTCGAGAAAGTCACGTTGTGACTTTGTTATCATCGGAATGTATCAGGTTTCAATTTGTTTAACTCGGTTATTTCGCCGTCTAATCCTGTATTCGTGATCACTATATTCAATTCATCATCTACGTGGTTATTAAACTGTTTTTGTTGGTTTTGAAAAAGAATTAAAACAATCTCTTCGAGAAATGTCACCGAGTTTTAAATATAAAAGTAACAGTAAACGAGATGGTATGAAAGTACAAGTCATGAGTGAGTGAGGTTTGTTTCGCAATTGTTCAGCGACATCTTGACGGGGACAACAGAAATGTCTCTTCGGTGTGATGACGAACGCGTTAACCACAAGGCCTCACCTCCGTCCCTTAAGACCCGTGAAGATTCCGGGGTAGAATAGGTCTTCAGCAACCCATGCTTACCGTAAAAGGTGATTATGCTTGTCGTAAAAGGCGACTAACAGGATCGGGCGGTCAGACTCGCTGACTTGGTTGATGCATGTCATCGATCCCAATTGCGTGGATTGATGCTCATGACATTAATCACTGGATTGTCTGGTCCAGACTCGATTGTTTGCAGACGGCCGTCATATAGCTGGAATATTGCTGAGTGCGGCGTTAAACAACAAACCAACCAACCAACCAACCGACCAACCGTCCCTTAAACGATGAGTATAGTGGAATGCTATTGTACAGACACTGATTCACTGTGGATCTGATTGTGAGTGAGCCTTACATGAAACACACGCCCACTGGACCTGAGAGATGAGGACAGCATCACGTGGTCCAAATACTTTTTGTCGGCACCACAAACAGAGGATATTCCTGGTGTCGAGTGAAATTAACCCCTTCACCTCCGTCACGGGGACACTCTTGTACGAATAATAGTTCCGTCAAAGTGTTATGTTAACTGGAGTGAAATATCAAGTGTAATGTTCCCTGCAATGAAATATCAAGTGTGATGTTCACTGTACTGAAAAAGCAAGTGTTATGTTCACTATGTAATATAATAATAATAAACGATATAATTTCTCGGGACTTCCGTTCGAGACAAGATATGTTTTTCGACCACTCATTTAAACCGTACTCTATTTTCCTTATAAGGTAAGGCGGAGCCCAACAAAGAGTTATTTCAAACACATTTTAAACATGTCCAGCAGCAAACCCAGGACAAAACCGTTTCCTCTAAGCATTTTCTGGTAGAATCTGTTTACAGAATGCCGATCCATCCGCAGATACATGTTGGGTGTCAAGTGTTATCTGTTGTGTAATAGACATCTGTTGACATGGTCTCTGTTGTCAGCGTCAAGTCGTGCACCAGTCAACAATATCCCCCTTTGAGAATAAGTAGAATAGTTAATCGCCGTGGTATACCATTCTTGAAATCGGAGACCACGTGAACAATACCTGTATGACCTTGACGCAACGGTAGATAACCGTGACCTTGAGGCGGATCCAAGGTTTTGTAAAAGAGGGTTTGTACATAATACCCACTCATTGTTCTACACAATGACAAAGGTTCCTGCAAGAGACGTCAAACCTCGATCTGCAATGTAAACCTCGCGTCGCTCTAACGTTATGTTTTGTTGAAGTGTAGGAATCGCTGTCACGTGAGGGCAACTAGGTGTCACGGCTCCAATTATATAACATGTCTTCCTGTTACCTCAGGGGCGGTCGGGTAGCCCAGTGGTTAAAGCGTTCGCTCGTCACGCCGAAGACCCGGGTTCGATTCCCGACATGGGTACAATGTGTGAAGCCCATTTCTGGTATCCCCCACCGTGATATTGCCGGAATATTGCTAAAAGCGGCGTAAAACCATACTCACTCACTCACTCCTGTTAGCTCAATAACAGCTCGAAGGTCGTTAAGAACGTCATCCTCGACTACTCGGTATAACATTTAAGTCAATGAAATACTTTTCGCATCAATATAAATGATGAAACTTCGTCAAGATGCAGACATAGAAAACGTGTAATGGAGTTCGAGAGTGGATATTCCTGTCTTCAATGATAGCCTAGTGGTTAAAGCGTACAGTTCACACGGCACAGCACGTGTTTGATTCTCACCATAGATCGGTACCGCGTGTGAAGGTCAGTTTTGACGTCACGATCTGTGATAATGGTTTCCTACATCTAAACTCACTCACTCACTCACTCACTCACTCCCTCACCCACTCACTCAATCACTCACTCAGACGCTGCAAACCCTGGTTTGGTAGCCCACTCGTTAAGACCCGTGAAGATCTGGGGTAGAATAGGTCTTCAGCAACCCATGCTTGCCGTAAAAGGCGAGTATCCTTGTCGTTAGAGGCGACTAACCGGATCGCGTGGTCTGGCTCGCTGACTTGGTTGATGCATGTCATCGTATCCCAATTGCGTCGATCGATGCTCATGCTATCAATCACTGGATTGTCTGGTCCAGACTCGATTATTTACAGACCGCCGTCATATAGTTGGAATATTGCTTAGTGCGGCGTTAAACAACAAACAAACAAACAAACAAATCTCACTCGTATACCACACCATACAACCTACCGACTCCAAATCTGCCAGTGTTCTGTCGATACATCTCCGTTTATGCTTAGTCCTCGAATAACCACATTTACTGACACTAATTCTGCAATTTATATTTACGCCCTTGTGAATTTAAACACAGCTCTTTGCAAAACCTGCGTTAACGATAATAAAATGTATTGAATTATTAATCAGTGCATCGACCACAGACCCAGCTTTTTTGATAAACAATAATCCTTTCATGTTGTTTATAAACAATGTTGTTCTCGAAGATACGCATTGTAATTACATTACAAGGTAACAAATCAACATGTTACGGGAAATAGGATAGCCGAACATCATTAATTGAACACCTAAACGAATCTGGCCAATATAACACGGCATAAAAACAAACGTCAAAAATCAATTACAGCGAATGTAAGGTGACAGCGTAAATCCGGCTATTCGACGACACTTCCGGGTGTAACCGCGATCATATAGGCAAACCACCTGGCTTTGTAATAGACAAGGTGTAAGGAAATTGACAACCCGTCACACTTTGTGTTTATACTTGACAGTCACCAGCAGTGAAATAGACAAAAATCGAGCTAAGATTAAAAAATCGCCCTCGCATGCCGTTCGCTAAAATCCCGTTGCCAAAGCCAGCGAATGAGTTTGCCTGAGCCTAACACCAGCCGTTCGCTGTGGCACCTATATGCTGTCAATCAACCATCTCACTGGACACACGTTGTCGATAACATGACGTCACGGGCCAAAGCGATAGGAACATGCTTACAAGCTCAAGCCTTCAGTGTGGGTTGGAGGTGGAGATTATTCTGTTACACATCTGCGGATTCACATAAATAGGTGCGCTCGGACAAGACTTTGTGGGTTCCAAGAATGTCTCCGTTTGCCGTGTTTGTCATTGCTTTGACTATAGTCAATGGGGCCCCGACGAAAGAAAAACTGCTTCCTAGGGTTATAGATGCGGTTGATCGTGCGATCAAATTCTTCAGCTCCGATTATAGTAGTATCAACGTGGATGGGTTGTTTGGACTTAGGATTGGTCAAGGTAAGTGACATTTCACTGAATGAATCTATAACCATCGTGTTAAGGGCAAGGCGACCTCTGTTCTCGCCGGTCGACAATACTTATACAGCGTCTGCATATTATGAGATTTGTCCCCATGAGATCCCCGAAAACATTTTTTTACAGATATTTGTTATTTTAAAATTATTCATTTTTAAATTAAAATTAAAACTTAATTTTTCCGTAATTGAAAGATCAACGGCATGTCTTCACAAAGTCAATTTTACAGATATTATAGTTAAAACAACTAATACGATATTTGAGTCATGGTAATAGATATCGAACTTAAAATACATAAAAAATACAACAAAGTTGAAAAAATAACAATCGTTTTTACACATAGAGATTTATATAAAATACTCAAAACAGTGTACGTTGTAGTTTTAGTGATGCGTGGAAATACTGTGCGCAAACAATTAAGGTAACACCAACAAACATATGTTGAACATTATTATGCTGCAGATCAACGCCGAGCAAACCCACATGTTGTCTAGTGTTGATATAATCTATGATAACAAGACAGGAGTTTGTACCGTCAGAATTCAAAACAACAGTCTAGACTGGCATTTTAATCCTACCATATCAAATGCCCGGCTTAAAATAAAGTTCAGCCATGGAAGCATGTGGATATTAAATTTAGAATCGTATTTTGAAATTTCAGTACAAACGTCTTGCTTCTGCGTTCAAGAAAACGATTTATTTGAAATTCGTGGGTTATTTTTGTTCTCAAAGGACGTGTTTTTATCTCATAACTACAAGTGTTAATCACGGTATAACGGGGCAGTGATTCGTTATAGCAACATCCGGGACAACCAGAACGCAGTATGTTGTTTACGCAATGGTTGATCAACATTACTTATGTTAACCCTCTGTGAGGTAAACGTTGACATAATTGTCAAATGAATCCGTTCAACAAACGTGTGTTGTGTACCAACGGGTTGTAAAAATGTAACTCTCGACTTACAAGTAGTTCTAAGTCCATAAATCTGTCTACAGTGAGCCCTATTTTATGGTTTGCAAATATTAACTATACCCAGTGTCGATGGGGATTTGTCTGTGTCGATTGTCTAGAGGTTGTTCTATTCAGTGTTATATATATGTATAAATATATATACACACGCACGCACGCATATATATATATATCATCCAAAACTTGCTCCCACAGGAGATATCGCTTGGGTGAGATCAAATTGCTTCACAATGCTTTGCAGACCATTGTGACGTCATTGGTTACCATGACGTCACAATCATATGACATCATTAATGGCTATGCTACTGAAGCTGTAAACAGAACTTTTTACACTTAAAGGGCAAGTTCACACGGAAATGAACCAATTTTTCTTGTACTTTTTCCACATTAAAAGTGTTAACATAGAAGTGTCATAGACAAAAATATAAAAACATCAAATTTAATTAACATATGTTTTGCATTAAAACGATTTATATTTTTCACTTTTACCAAGTGTTCTATTTCCATAACAAAAACACCATGGCTTATGCCCCTTGCAATATGACGTCATTGGTGCCAATTGATAAACATTATGACGTCATCATGCTTTGTTAGAGCCGCTTCACGTGGTGTAGGTACAGTTTTGTGATTCTAGCGTCTCAGATGCCAGCCAGAATTGTGTTATGCTGAGTCACCACTGCGCCGGAGTGTGTCGTAGACCATGTTGTTTTACCGCAAACTGGTCGTTGATATCTTTTGCGTTGAGAATAGACAGGGACCCAGTTGAATTGGCACCAATTACGTCATAATCTAAGGGGGATAACTCAGGCCTATTTCGCTCGTAAAACGAAGGCTTCATAACGGCATATCATTTTCACACTATTGTGAGCTTCCTACTTTCACTGTGAAACAAAATGAGTGTATATTTTCAAACACAGATACTAACTAATTCTAAAATTGCGTTTTGTTTAGAAAAAGAAAGAAAGTGATTTTTGCGTGTACACTTCCCCTTTAAGACACTGCTTATTACTGTCTACAAACTGAAAAAGTTTGAAGAATGATGTTGGATGATAAATAAAATCTCACTCGTATAACTCGTATAACACTCGTTGATAAAAGTGGAAAAAATCCTCGGCAAGCCTCGGAGTCTTCCCACTTTTATCAACTCGTGTTGATATATTTAATATCAAAAGACACTCGGGTGAGATTATCTCTCTCTATATATATAAATATATACGCACGCACGCACACATTCTGACCATTATCAATATGTGACGCACATACATGTATAAAAACACTGAAGGGCAAAAGAAACTTCTCCTCTAAGTTGATGTTATCATAAGTTTGTTTTTCAATTCAATATATGTTAAGTTAGCGATAATATACCAAACATTGAACTGTACTGGCGCTTAGACTCAGGCTTGCACTCAAAGAATACTTCAATATGGTTTTATTTGTAAAAATATAATTTAATTTAAAACTTTTAGAAATTAAAAAAACTTCAATATGGTTTTATTTGTAACAAATTAATTTGATTTAAAACTTTTAGAAATTTAAAAAACACATAATTCGTATAATACACAGCTGCTGATGCGTATCTTAGACATCTTATCTATGAAAATCAATAGATTTGATTTTTCAGGCACAAATTTACATTTCAAACACGGTAGGGGTCATGTGGTTGTAAATTCATTCCTTTCCCCAGTCTTCGTTGAACCAATATATTTTTACAAAGAAATACCCAGCCACAGATTACATTTTACATGATATCAATCGCTGGATTGTCTGGTTCAGACTGGATTATTTACAGACCGCCGTCATATAGCTTGAATATTGCTAAGTGCGGCGTAAAACAACAAACCAACAACCAACTCGATCCCGTTAGTTGCCTCTTACGACAAGCACAGTCGCCTCTTACGACAAGCAGGGTTGCTGAAGACCTATTCTAATCAGGAGGGGGCACGGGTGGCCAAGTCTTAGGCGCCGCGATTCGCTGTGCAGAGCTGCGTCCCTTGGGCACGCCAGAAACCTATGATTGTGGGTTCGAATCCCGGTTCGCCCCGATTATGTTTCTAGGTTTGTCAGCACCATACCCGTGCTCGTGGGTTTCACCGAAGTGGTAAACGTCTGAGACCTGCATCAATTCGGGCTTTCCTCCCACATTAATCTGACACGCCGCGATATAACTGGAATACTGTTAAAAGCGGCGTTAAACCCAACTCACTCACTCACTCACTCACTCTTATCGGGATCTTCACGGGTCTCCATTTGTAAATCTACATAAGTAGAGCCGGTTGTGGCACATATATTTTTACAGTTACATTATCAGCCTTGTTTCTGTCAGATCAGATAAGATATCTATATTTATACAGTCAGTTGTCCCACTCACCGAGAGGCTGATCAGTGACCAGCTGTGTATTGTTGAGTATAGATTTACCGATACTACACGTCAGTGCACTATGTATTCCGTTATACTTGGTCCAGTGGGTTTCCTGTCTAGAAGGATATTGGCGTGACTCATGTTTCATATCTTTAAGCGGTATTTTGGTATCACTTGCTTGATAAAGGTACGGACATGTGTACCGAAACGTCGCATTGATAGTACAAGGACGTTGAGTATTATGTTAAGTCATCTGGGAGCGGTTCCACAAAGCGATCGTAGGGCTATGACGATCGTAACTCCCATACTTTAACATAGACTCACGACAGTCGTAACGCTACGATCGCTATGAATGAGTGAGTGAGTATGGTTTTACGCCGCTTTTAGAAATATTCCAGCAATATCACGGCGGGGGACACCAGAAATGGGCTTCACACATTGTACCCATGTCGGGAATCGAACCCGGGTCTTCGGCGTGACGAGCGAACGCTTTAACCACTAGGCTACCCGACCGCCCCACGATCGCTTTGAGGAACAGGGCCTGGGCCCCGTTCCACAAAACGATCTTAGCGCTAAGATGATCGTAACTCCCATCCTTTAACATAGGCTTACGGCAATCATAGCACTAAGATCGCTTTGTTGAACAGGCCCCTGGAATGTTTTACTTACAACAATAGCGAATTTGACATATCATAGACAATTAAAAGCATCTTTTTGAACCCATAATCTCTCAAAAATTGATTCAAACACATATTTATATTTCGTATTTTGATGTCAAGAACACTAAATTGATAACATGTCACACAAGAACATCCACGAAGGGTGTAATTGAATGTACAAAGCGAATACTACCCGTAAACATAGGAGTTAGAATTGGTCTTCAGCACCCCATGCTTGTAAGATGCGACTAACGGGATCGGGTGGTCAGGCTCGCTGGCTTGGTTGATGCATGTCATCGTATCCCAATTGCGTAGATCGATACTCATGATGTCAGTCACTGGAGTGGCTGGTCCAGACTCGATTATTTACAAACCGCCGTCATATACAGTAAACTACGGTTATAACGAACACGCTTATAACGAACTGACGGATATAACGAACTTACTTTTTTGGTCCCGACTATTTGCTGTAGTTATGCTGTATATATGCTTATAACGAACTACGGTTATAACGAACTAAAATTAGTAGTCCCTTTGAGTTCGTTATAACCGTAGTTTACTGTAGATGGAATATATATGGCGTTAAACAACAAACAAACAAATCGAGTACAGTACTAAAATCAATGGAGAGGTGATTCCCGGAACTAGCAGCGCGTCTGCAATCGCTGTGAACAGAAGTGGCCATACCGTATCGTACGGAACGCACCTGTGTGGATGCCTGTAAGAAGATGACCCCCTTGTTACATGCATGTTAAAGTTTGATTGTGGATTAACACTCAGCAATATTCCACTTATTATCGCAGCCAGTGAACAATCGCGTTCGGACCAGACACCTAGTGGTTGATATCATGAGCAACGATCCACGCAGTCGGGGTACGATGACACACAATTAACCAAGTCACGGAACCCGATCCCTTAAGTCTTCTCGCTCGACCAGCATCTACGTATGAACACCACTGGTCTGTATTTTCTTTTTAAAAACAAAACAAAACAA